TCAGTGAAAAGCATACATTGTGCAAGAGGAGTTCCTCTGGAGAAGGCACCTAGAAATGAAATTTCTGGGTCTCGGCGGGTGGCAGACTGTCTCCTCAACTTGACCAGCCCCTACCACACCCGTTGCTCTAAAGAGGTTATGCTGGGTCACATTCCATAGTGAGTAAAGGAGCTCCAATGCTCTGGTTACCCCTGCCAATCTTACGGGTTTGAAATGTTACCTTATTGTTTTAATTTTCCTTTTTCCTGATTATTCATGAGCTTAAGCATCTTTCCATATTTACTGGCCATTCTCATTTTCTCTCCTATCAAGTGCCAGTCCATATCGTTTGCACTGATTTTTCTACCATTTGTCTTTTTCTTATAAGATTAAGAGTTCTTTATATTAGCGGACACATCTTTTGTCAGTCTCATGCAATCATACTTACCTACCTTGGGGGGAAAACTCTTGCACATGCACATAAGGAGTCATACAGAAGGGTTTTTAGTAAAGCACTGTCTATCACAGGGAAAAAGTGCAAATGACCTGCTTCTCCCTCAGAAGGGGAATGGATAAATAAACTGGGTTTAGTTATCAGCAGGCTATCATACAACAGTTAAAACCAACTACAACTATACATACAACATGGGTAAATCTCAAAATCAATGGTGAGTGGAAGAAAAAAATCAGTTTGTAAGAGGATATGCAAAGTATAGCACCATTTACATGAACTTTACCTCCAGAATATTTTTAAGCCAGTCTCCTGCCATTTATCCCACCACTGCCCCAGGTCTCTAACAAGGACAACTGCCACAGCCTTCTAACTGGTCTCCCTGTTTCCAAACTTGTCTCACTCCAATCTGTCCTTCACACAGCTATCAAAGGATCTGTCTAAAAGAGGAATCCTTCACTGGCTCTCCATCACCCACAGGGTAAGGTTAAGACCCTTTATAATCTCTCCAGCCTCAACTCTTGCCACTCCCTACCTATACTTTACATATCTCATCTCTTGCCATTCCTTTCTCTCTTCTGAGCACTAGGCACTTGCAGGCAGCACTGGGTGACTGGTGAATTACATACCATTCTCTCTCAAAGTCATTTTTAATAAGAACAAATTTCAAGCAACAAATTATTGATATGAAATCCAACAGGTGGCTCAGACATTGCAGTATGGCTTGGTGTGTCATGCGACTGGACCAAAAAAACCCAGCCAATACTTTTGATTCAAACATAACTCCAACTCCAACCGAGAAATATGTGATTAATGTGATTAATATTTGTATTTATACTTTGAGGGTAATTGTTTCTTTATGCTTTGGAATTAACTGCGTCTATCTCATTCAAACAGCTGAAATGCTGTAATGAATACATTTGCTCATAATTACATTCCAAGTGTTAATGAGCTCACTTCCCTTTCCCCTCCATACTTCTAAAGTTCCTTTCTGTTCCAGAAAGGTTGTGGAAGAAAACAAACTGAATATAACAGAAGGAACTGGTATGGTGTACCGAAAAGGCTGGACTAACGTGACCATGTAAATTAAACTGGAACTTGGTGAAAAGCAGCATGTGCTACCTACAGACCCCCCTCACTCACGAGGCAGTATGGGGCAAGAGCAAAGTGCTGAGTTAGGCAACCCAGACACCAGGCTTCTTGTCCTGGCTCCACTCACTTGTAATATTCTGTCTCAAGCCCTTCAATCAAGAAGTGGGCTAAATCATTACCAAAACCAAACCCGGGGCTGTTGAGTTAATTCCAACTCATAGAGACCCTATAGGACAGAGTAGAACTGCCACATAGGGTTTCCAAGGCCGTAATCTTTACGGAAGCAGACTGCCACGTTCTTCTCCCACGGCGCATCTGGTGGGTTTGACCACTGACCTTTCAGTTAACAGCTGAGCACTTAACCACTGCACCACCAGGGCTCCCTGGCCATACCATTCCAAAAAACCAAATTCACTGCTGTCGAGTTGACTCTATGAGGCTATACCATTAGGGAGATGCAAATCAAAATCACAATGAAATATTTCAATCTCACATGGATGGCTAAGATTAAAAAAAAAAAGAAAAACAGAAAATAATGAATGTTGGTGAGAATGTGGAGGAACTGGAACACTTATCCATTGCTGCTAGGAATGCAAAATGGTACAGACACTGTGGCAAACAGTCTGGCAGTTTCCTCAAAAAGTTAAACATGAAACTACCATGTGACCCAACAATTCCACTCCTAGGTATATACCCAAGAGACCTGAAAGCATCAATGCAAACAGATACATGTACATCAATGTTCACTGCAGCACTATTCACAATAGCCAAAAGGTGGAAACAACCTAAGCATCTACCAATGGATGAATGGATAAACAAAATGTGGTACACACATACAATGGGATACTACTCAGCCATACAAAGAAACGAAGTCCTGATACATGCTACAACATAGATGAACCTTGAAAACCTTATGCTCAAATGAAATAACTCAATCAAAAAAGGACAAATATTGTATGATCTCACTTATATGAAATAACAAGAATAGGCAAGTGTATAGAGACCAAAGTTTACTCGTGGTTACCAGGAGTGGGAAGGGGAAAGCGGGGGAAGGGGAAACCACTGTTTAGGAAGCAGTGAGTTTCTGTTTATAGTGATGGGAAATGTGGCAACAATTATGGGTAATGGATGCACAACATGATTAATGTAATTGAGATCGCAAAACTGTACACCTAAAAAATGTTGAATTGGCCAGTGTTGTGTTACATATATCTTCACAACAATTAAAAAAACAAAAAAAGTGGGCTAAAATTCCATAAAAATAACATGACATACAAGTATTGTTAACTATGGACAACTTACTAATCCTTTCTGGGCCTTAAAGTCCTCATCTGCAAAACAGGCATAATAGTCTCAAGCCCTGGCTATGAAATAGTCATGTTATAACACTTTGTAAAACATTATAAGCATGTAAGATCTTATTAATAATTACCATAAGAGACATCCTATTAATTTTAACTAGGAGTCCTAGAGACTGAAAGCATGTTATAGTAATCCTTGGTTTTCTGAATACAGACTTTAAGCCATACATTACCTTATTTGTTAAGATTCTGAAAATTTATACCAGAAAAAACAGAATAGTCTCCTCCATATGAACCACATATGCTGTCTGTGATACTCACTTTCATCTCCAAACTAGGAGGATCCAAATTAGTAGGGCTTTCCTACAGTGAAATCTGTTTAAGCAAACATCTGCCAGTTCCCTGAAAAGTGTTTCCCCACACACACAGGTGGCCTTTGAATTTGTGGCCTGAAATCCATGCACAGAAAATGTAGTCTTTCAGACTAAAGCCCTTCAAGAGAGGTAGTGTCCTTGAGAGCTTGGGTCTCCCCCTAGCTGGGGAGAAAGTGTGCTGAAAAGGAACTCAACTCCAAGCCAGGAAGTGCTTGGATTTAATGAAAGTGACAACGACTGCTTCATCACTGTCAGGGCGATACTGATTGAAAAGACACATTTGTCCTGTTATTAATATTCTTAATCAAAGCATAAAAGGAAGCGTATGTTTTAGTTGAATCAAGGCCCATTTTCTGTTTTCTCAATTACTCATTCTTCAGGGCAGTGGAATAGCTGTTGGTTGTTAGGTGCCATCAGGTGGGTTACGACTCAAAGCGACCCTATGTGCAACAGAATGAAACACTGCTGGGTCCTGTGCCATCCTCACAATCATTGTTATGCTTGAGCCCACTGTTGCAGCCACTGTGTCAATCCATCTAGTTGATGCAATAGGGGAGGCACAAAATATAACCCCAAAGTCATGGATTCTGCCCTTAGCTTTACCCAAGATTGCCCAAATGACCTTGGGCAAATCACTGAGGGCAGATACCTGCTTTAGTGTCTGCATCTGTGACAATCTGCCCCTCAAGAGGCTGGTGAACACTCAGCAGATATTAGCCTAGTCCTCAGATGATTAAACTGACTCCTGTTGTTTTGACCAGCAGGTACAGACTTTTTTTTTCCCCTTCAAATGGCAGGCTAGTTACTTCCTGGCTTTGATCTGAAATTAAATTGTATCTATCCTAAGAAGTCAAGAGTATCTTATTAATTTTTCTGGCATTATAGGGAAATGGCTTTATGCAGTGGTTAAGAGCTCGGCTACCAACCAAAAGTTTCGCAGTTCGAATCTACGAGTCGCTCCTTGGAAACTGTCCTATAGGGTTGCTATGAGTCAGAATCAACTCAACAGCAACAGGTTTGGTTTTTGGTCACTAAAAAAGGATAATAACTGAGAAGATTATGCTTCAAAATCGCAAAAGGCGTCCCAACTCTGGAGACATGCTGCAGTGAAAGGCAGAAGCAGGTGGTATGTGACTGAAGTGAGAAACACGAGGAACATGAAGCACCTGGGCAGGTCCTTATAAAAACAGAATGGACAAAACCATAAGACTGAGGTCTCCTTCCCCCACTATTCCCAGCCTGCAGTGATTTCTCTATGGAAGACTTTCAGACAACCAGACAGCTCAGCGGGGCTCAACCCTAAGGCCCGAAGGAACACCCAGCAGAGAGATGAAGTGGGGCTTTCTCTCAGAGTGTGGCTCTGGTTCTCAGAAGAGCTTCAAGTGAGGACCTCAAGGCCATGTTTAGCAAAAACTGGAAATCATAAATTCATTTTTTTTAATTAATAAAAAGAGAGGCTGATCCAGTGAATGTAGTTGACCACATGTGCAAAATAAGATTACACAGAAAACTCACTGCGGTGTATTCTTCTCATTTATGCACTTTTCTGTATGTATGTTACAAGTCAATGAGATGCTTTATTAAAAAAAGTGATCATGTTATTTACACGCACACACACAGTCACAAGATTACATGGAAGTGGGACCACTATCGTGGTTTCCCAAGTCCACAAGTCCCATAACAACTCACATTCTGGGGCAAGTCTCTTTGAAGTCCAGAATATGCAAAGAAACAGTAGACACGAGTGATCCCATGACACGCGTTAATGCCCAGGAAGAATATGTTTTTCTTCTTTGAGCCTACCTTGGCCTGTACGGCGTAAGAAGCCAGGAGCACAGAAGCCTCGGGAGGGCAGTAGATCTTTTCATCTAAAATCTGCTTCTTTACCTGAAAGGGTCAACAAGGGAGACATGAGACCGTGAGCGTGGAAGGAAGCTGTACAGGCCAGGCACAGCAGATGGCTGCGGGGTGTCCTAATGAGGGTTGCCAAACCAGCCTGTTAATCATTTTCTGACAAAGGGCACGATTTTTTACTGATGCAGACGGGTTGAGAGTTCAGTCACTGAGAAGTCATTGGTAAGATGGCTACCCATAAAAACCCCTTATCACTTCTCCTCATGATCACATGCTGAAGAGCAAAAACAATCTTCACGGTTAAAACACAGACTGACATCTGGGCTGTGACAGAGGAGAGCTGTGAAGGCGAGGAGTGTCAGGAGCAGCTCGGGTGGTGATTGCAGCCTTGCCCCTGCTGAGCACACTCAGCACTAGAGGAAATGGAGTCTGCTTTTAAGTCTTAACGCAACACAAAAGGCACAAGGCCACTGAGTTATGACTGCGGAAAAAACCATCACTTCAATGCGCCTATGCTGAGGAAGAAGGAAGCAATAAAGTTTGATCGATTAAACTTCTAAGTATATGTGAGGTCCAGGAAATGTAATTCGTAAGCCATAATGTTGAATGAACATATCTCATTGTGCTTAATTTCTCAGCGTGGTGCAGTGTGTGATATTCCAGACACAGAGTCAGGAGAGCCACATGAAGTGGTGGCACTCTGAAATTAACAACAGGAAAGCCGGTTCTCTCTTTACAGATGTCAGTGGTCACCCAGATCCCTACTCAGCTACGAAAACACTCCAATACTTCAGTATAAGGAAACATCAGGCTAAAGTCACATGAGTGATGGGCACTGCTCCCAAGAGCTTTACAAGAAAGCCATTTCTGTAACTCTAGGTTAGGACATTCTAGGGACAACTAGTACCAGTACCAGCTGCCTCCAAGTCAATTCCAACTCATCGTGACCCCATGTGTGTCAGAGTAGAACTGTCCTTCATAGGGTTTTCATGGCTGTGCAAATTGCCAGGCCTTTCTTCCAAGGTGCCTCGGGGTAGGTTCAAACCACCAACCTTTTGATTAGTAGTTAAATGCTTAACCATTTGCACCACCCAGGGAGATTAGTATGCGATTTCATTCAAAGGCAAAAATTCTTCTCAGGTTTGAAAACTGATTTTATGTTCCTACAGAGAAAATGAAAATCTGAGATGTTTCTGAAACAGTGTAACTTTCTAATCCTTTGGTTTCTTTTTAAAGAAAACAAAAAGCAACCTACAAAAAAATTGAAATTGACCTGAAAATGTTGGAAACAATATCTATATGGCAAACTTGTTTTGTAAAAGAAATGATTTGAGGAGTTTTATTACATTTAACTTAACATTTACTGAATACAGTACACTGAGGCTCAAACTAATTACAGGAGGTCTACACGACAGGCTACAATACACATCCATTTCTGCAAAATCGTGTAATTAGCACCCCTGCCGCAATCTTTTCCGTTACTGGCAGCGGGCACCGTTGGGCACGGGAGGCAGCCCCAGTGCCAATCACTGTAACTAAACATGAAATCGAGGAATGGTTCTGACCAAGCAGTAGGAACACATGCGAAACAGATAGGGCTTTCATCCTCAGACTACCCACCCCCATCATGTCCTAGACAGTAACTAGCTGTCTTCGAGCCTATAATTATGGATCTCCTAATTTCTTCAATTCAGTTGAGCAATTACTTATGGAATGCCTACCGTGCACTCAATGAGCCTTGCCTTTAAGGGGCTTACAATCTAATGAGGGAGTAAGGGGGAAATAAGACAATTATCGACAGAATAGCATGAAGCACAATGTTTGAAGAACCACATGCGGGGCATACACCAAGTGTCACTGTGGTTCTAAGAAGCCCTGTCTTAACGAGAGTAGACTTTGAACTTTCTGGAGAACTGGTGCTTTATAAGAATCTCTCTTTAACCTTCCTTTGCAACTACTGAGTACTTTTAAGTTAGCCAGAAGAAAACAGGCTCCATCTTCAAGGAGATTTTAAGTTAGGTAGCTACTTGCATCCATTCTTTCACCATCACAGTTTTGCAACTGCATCTGACACCAATTCTCATCACTCAAGTACAGTTCTATCCTGAAGATTTTTCCATTATGGAACCAAAGGGACTGACTTTCCAGAAGCAGAACATTTTCACAATGTGAGGTCATTTGTGTTCAATCAACTCTGAGGGGTTCTACTCAGGCCAACTCTGCAACCGTGCCTGGAAGAGTGCTCTCAGAATTAGGAGGGTAGCATGGACGGGTGTACCTGCAAAAAGAATAGATGTTGTGTGATCTCCTGAACCAGCTCCTCCTCGGCATTCTCAGGATAAAATTTGGCCAGGAAGTGGAAGGTTACTGGCTCTTCCTTTGAAACATCATGATCCAGCACCTGCAGAGTTGAAGAGTGAAAGATAAAAAGAGCCTTTTTCAGGGAGCGTATGAAAATTTTTTCCTCTCTAAAGTTATCACATTTCCCAGAGGTTGTGATTCTACAGTTTGAAGCAGTCACAAAGTCATGTATAACAAAAGACAACATTTACTTCACAAGGTGTTTCTGAACCAAATTAATCAATATCCCCGTGGGGTGAGTGGATCTAAGATTATTAAGGCACAAATGTTCTCAAGGATGACGAAATTGTTAAAAACTAAAAATTTATAACTCAAAGATTTTAAGCACTATCTTTACAGCAGACTGAAGGTTTTTTTAACTTTCTAATGTAATATAGTCTTCCTTTATTCTTTTTTCTTGCTGCCCACCTCCAACACTGAAGTCCATGTTGGAATGGAGCTTAGAGATGATGAACCAGATCCTGATGAAATCATCCAAACACTAACCAAGCAACAAAAGTGAAACATGTGCACCACAACAACCCTTTATTTCAAGCAGCTTCCATAGATGCCCCACGGGATGCTTGGAACAGTCAGTAACCAGTGCTTTTAATCTTCTAACAAATCCGTCTACCCACTGAAAAGCTTGAACCATCAGCTCTCCAGAGTGCACTTTAGTTCAGGACCTAAACATGCTATCTGACATGCTACGAGGCCCCATTAGCACGTGTCATAATTTATTTCCTTTGAGCAGCATGCTCCATGGCACCTAATGTCCCGAATCTAGCTCCATTTCGAATCTAGCTCCATTTGGCCAACATTCCTGTATGATTTAAAATTTACTTGGTTGAGAATTACAAAAAGATACAGAAAAGTTTTGCTGTCTTTGATACATAATTCTCCATGCTCCTGCCCAAATTCCAGGTGGCAATGCCCAGGAGATGCAAAAATAAACCTGATCTAGGACACTCACACAGACATTGGTACACAATGGCACTTTGATGTTCCCGACCTTTGGGAATTCCCATTGCAAAATGTACAACCAGCAGGAATTCCGATGTGAAGATTCAGATTACTGTGCCCATCCCTGAACACAATTTGAACATTTCAGCTTAGAGTCCAACTGGCAAAAGAGGAGGCTTTCGTTGTTTACCATGCTGTGTAGTAGATAATAACTTCAGGTAGGCTATTACTGGGGGTACCTTTTGGGGTAAGAATTAGACATTGACTTACTTTGAGATTCAGGTGTCTTTCAGGATTTACTGACAAAAGCATATGGCCCTGTTCCCCAACCGTCTTCATGGTTAGGTAGGCAGGCAAATGTGACTTTGTGTGCACATATGAACCCAGGTAGAGGGCAGTTTCCCTAAGCAATATCCATTTCCAAACCATATTCAAGGGGCTGGGAGCCCAGACTTCTCCACCATGCTTCAGAAGCCCCAGAGAATCCTGAAGACAAAATGGGCATTCTTCCTTTGCCATAGGGACTAGGGTACTCTTTACTCCCTTAGGTCACATTAATGATGAATTTAAGTCAGGCCACGGTGTTTCTCAAAAACACTTTTAAAAATTCCTTACAGAACAGAAACCCCAAGAGAATCTTTCAAAGATATAAACTGTGTGTGTGTGTGTGTGTGTGTAAACATACACTTGTGTGTGTGTATGTATGTATGAAGGTAATTGTAATTTTTATTCATAAAGTCTAAGTAGTGGTTCAATAAATTGAAGGGCATAAAGCCAGAAATAATCAGACTGGTGACAATGGATAAGTAAACCATGGCTGGCAACAGTTTAATCTCAGTTAATTCTGCTTCCTAGGAAAGTCTGTGAGGAGAAACCTGTGGCATCTCCAGGACCCGCTTTCTGTGCTACTGAATTTAGGAACTTGCCCCCTTCAGGAACGTGCCCTCTTCTTCATATCATCTCTGTGCCCCGATGGTAAACAAAGAAGCCAAGGTGCATGCTCAGGGAAAAGACAGAAGAGAACACTGGTTTCATGGAGTTCCAGTCCAACCTTTTTGTCCATTTTGAGCCAGGCCACAGTATCCTTGATTGTGTACTGCAGTCCAAAGAACCAGGTTTCCCGAAGCCCCAGGGTCCGACACACCAAATCAAACAGGTCCTTCCCTTTCCACTTCATCTGCAATATAACAAACCAACAGGGAAGGACATTGTAAGCAAAAGACATAATTCGCTCTCAGAAAAACCTTTTCTCTGCCTTCTTTACTCTCAGATTCCAAAATGCAGAGATGATGCTAAGACGGCTGATGAGCACAGAATTCCTGAATAATTTTAAAGCTTCCTACACAAAACCATGAGTGGGAAAATACCAATTAGAGCTTAATGGCTTAATCACTCCCTTGGACAGTTTCTTACAGATCTTAATATCCCCAAAGCTGCTAATTTGGGAAAGCTGGTAAATAAGTAAACTCGTTTAGGAGCGTCAAGTCTCTTGAGCTAACCCAGGGAGATGGCTAGCTTCTAGGGACACTAACTGCCTTGGAATTTTATTACTGGTGTTGTTTTTTTAAAATCATGACTCTGCCTTTTGATAAAAGGCTAGGTTTTTTGTGGTTTTTTTTTTTTTTTTTGGTGGTTGTTGTTTTGTTTTAATTTCAAGGCTGGATTTGCTAGAAGTTTTTTAAAGGCAATATCGGGGAAGAAGGTGTAACCAAAGTCATAAATCATAAAGAAAAAGAGCCATTAGACCAGCGAGTCCAATTACAGGTCTCTCCTGCTACAGAAGTGTAGCTGAGGCCAAAGGGGAAGCGACTCACCATAGTCACATAGAGCAATTTCAAATTCTCAGTATCTAAACCAAGGTGACAAATAGACACCAATATCCTGTGGTGTGTTTACCTCATAGCCTCACTTTCAAAAGGACCTGAAGCAATGGCTGCTAAACTCTTTTCTCAGCTCTTCAATCTTGTAGCTGGAATGGCAAATTCAACATCTTAATGGGGGAAGAGAACGCCCTGCAGCTTAAAAAATGTTGCCACCTTGTGGCTTTCAAGTTAACTCATGTAGGATGTTGCTATACTACCCCTTAGCTGCTGTCTGCCGTCCCCACATCAAAGGTCAAAGGTACATTTGCATACACAGACAATGCACACATGGGTGCAGTTATGATCACATGAGACCCATCACAGAAAAAGTGGCCACATAAAGAGCCATCTTGGGGTTCAGATACAAGGTTGCCAGACACCGGAAGAACAAGACCACTCCGCTGCAGAAGATCTGTCCTTCTCCTGTCCTCGTTACAAATCCCCACCCAAAGTCCTGGAGCACTGAAGAGGCATCATGACAGGGAATGAGAAAATAAAATTTCAGATTTCAGAAACTTGCTACAAAAGCAAGAAGGAAAAAGTAAGTTAGACCTCTGCTATCTCCTTGGCTTTTGCTAAAACCCGATTCTATGGATTTTTCAAGTCTGCCTTGTTTTTAATAGATGTGAATGCACACTGTGTTCTGTACAAGGAACCTGACAGGAAAGCCCATCCCTTCTCCTTGCCTCTGCTGTCAAAGTCGAGCAAAGCAGCAAGCTAAATGGAAGAACACCAAAACCGCAGCAGACAAGTGGTTGAGGTGCGCACCAGCTTTGTCCTTCACCGGGCAGTTCTCCAATCTGTCCTTTGCCTCTGTTCCTTCTCTGTCACTACAGTGGCATCTCTGTAACATAACAAAGCTTGAGGTCTTTAGCAGTTATTTTGAATAAAATAAAAAGAAGAGTTTTAATAATAAAAAAAAAAGATCTCCTTCCCCCTTGAGTAAGGCTCAGTAATGCTAGCCGGCACACCCACTTCCCAGTTAGACAACAGGACAAAGCGTTTTTTAATTCATGGCAGGTTTCAGTTCCTACCGGCCAACTTCACTGAAGAAACGTTATTTTGGAAAACTAGAAGCTTCAGGTTGCTGACTACCCTCTTGTCTCTTGTTTTAAGCCAGTGCATAGCATATAAATTATAAATGACTATCTTGCTACAAGATAATGTAACACTAAAGAACAGACATTAACTTGGAGAAGTAAAACACCCAAGGGCCAAGAAGATCAAGGTAAGGATTCCCAGTCCCCCCTAACTCACATGGGCTGGGCGGGCCGCTGGCAGCTGGGGCTGTCTGCGTGTGGAATGTGCAGTGCATCTAAACGAAAGCTGCTGAGGGACAATGAACCAATTTCCTGACTTGGGAGTTTAAATCTCAAACATAATAATGTATTAATGCACTTTTCCTGTATTCACCTCTACTTCTCTGTTTTTAAAATGCAAACCTATCTTTGCTGAATGCAAAAAGACACTGTCTTTGCCCCCATGGAGCTTGCAATAAAGTGATGAGAGGGGAAAAATTCTCACATCGACTCAGAATGCCCTACTTAGATTTTTAACTTTGACTCAAAGAATTGTAGATCATCAGAGTTGGAAATGAGCTTGAGTAATCACCTACTGTAGCCCCATCACCTTTTTGTACAAAGAGAGAAACAGAGTCATAGACTCTTCGGCAGCTTGCCAAAGCAGACACTGGCCTTAAAGTACTGGGCTGCTAACCAAAAGGTGGAGATTTGAGTCTATCCAGAGGTCCTCAGAAGAAAAGTCCTGGTGATCTACTTCCAAAAAATCAGCTCCAAACCCCTGTGGAACACCTTCTGTTCTGATACACACAGGGTCGTCAGGAGTCATAATCGACTCAACCGCAACAGGTTTAAGAAAGCAAACCCCCGTCCATCAAACACCTCTTCTCCTGCTCTGTGGGGTTCCCTCCTTCTTGCTCTCCACCAGCACTCCCCAGCCTCCTTTTCCAGTAAACATCTGGTGTCTTAACACTCTTTCCTACTCTGAAACAAAACCCATTTGCAGAAGGGCCAGCTACTACTCACCTATAGCTCAATGTAAACTAAAGCCTCTGCTACCTCTCATTATTCTTTTTGTTGTTACTGAACATTTTACTGTGTTTTAGGTGAAAGTTTACACAGTAAATCAGTGTCCCATTCAACAATTCATACACAAATTGTTCTGTGACATTGGTTGCTATCCCCACAATGTGTCAGCACTCTCCCCATTTCTACTCTTCCTTCCCCGTTGCCATCCCTCCAGTTTCCCTGCCCCTCCTTGCCTCCTCATCTTTGCTTTTGGGCAAATGTTGGTCTCATATAGTTGACTGTTCTAAACAGCACATTCCTCATGGGTGTTATTGTTTATTTTTATAGGCCAACCTATTATTTGGCTGAAAGGTGACCTCCGGTAGTGGCTTCAGTTCCTGCTTAAAAGGGTGTCTTAGGAGGACAGACTCGGAGGTTCTTCCACTCTATCAGTCCAGTAAGTCTGATTTTTTTTTAATGAATTTGAGTTTTGTTCTACATTTTTTTCCCATTCTAACCAGGACCTCCTACTTTGTCCCTGGTCAGAGCAGTCAGTAGTGGTAGCCGGGCACCATCTAATTCTTTTGGTCTCAGGCTAGACGAGGCTGTGGTTTGTGTGGGCCATTAGTCTTGTGGACTAATTGCTTCCTTGAGTCTTTGGTTTCCTTCACTCTCCTTTGCTCCAGACAGGAGGAAACCAATAGTTGTATCTTAGATGGTGGCTCCCAAGCTTTTGAGACCCCAGATGCTATTCACCAACCTAGGATATAGAACGTTATCTTTGTGAACTATGTTACGCCAACTGACCTAGATGTCCTGAGACTATGGTTCTGAGCCTTCAAACCCAATAACACAGTCCCACAAGGTGTTAGGATATGTCTAGAAGTTTCCATAATTGTGCCCCTATGTGTTCTATTAAATAAATGAATACATCTGCAGCATATAAAATATGTACATCATTTATTCTTTCAACAAGTATTCTAGAGCTCTCTTTAAGGGCCAAGTAATGCTGGACACTGATGATATAAAATGGTGTGAGCACTGTTCCTGCAGGAGACACAGGCAAGGACCAAGGTCAGAGAAGGTTTTCAAGAACAGAACAAGTAAGAGTTAGATGAAGGAGGGAAGAAAATAAATATTAAAAAAAAAAAAAAAAATTCATTATCTTGACAGGGAACTGCAAGTCCTCTGGTAGAGCTAAAACAGACAGCATGAGCTCAGGAGGGGGCGTGGTGCAGTGGGGGGTGTGAGGCTGGGCCACGTGGCTGACTTCAGCCTGAAAGCCACACAAGTCTCTCAAGACTCCTGGGCAGAGGAGTGATGGAATCAGACCTACATTTTGGAATGGACTCTGATGATGACGGTGTAGAATGGGTTGGAGGAAGGGAACCTAGATGCAAGAAGACCAGAAAAGAGGCCAACTCTTGCCATACCAAAGGCAGTAGGGCGAGGGTGAAGGGGGTGGGGAGACAGCCTCAGGAATGGAAAAGAGGCAGAGTCACAGAACAGGTGCCTGGAGGCCTATAGGGATGGAGGGAGAAAGAATCAGAGGACTCCCATTGTTCTGGCTTGGGCACTGGTAGTTCCACTAAGAGAGAGAGATGGAATACAGAAGAACGTACTTGGGAGGATAGATGAGCAATCAAGTTTTAGACAAGATATATTAAGGTACCTGAGGAAATGGGTAGGAATGTCCTAAATATATCTGATTTAAAGCCTTGTTGTTGCTGTGTGCTGTCAAGTCGATTCCAACTCATAACGACCCTATAGGACAGAGAAGAACTTCCCCCCATAGGATTTCCTAGACTGTAATCTTTACAGGAGCAGATAGCCAGGTCTTTTCACCCTCGGAGTCGCTGGTGGGTTCTACCGACCTTTCAGTTAACAGCTGAGTACTTAACCATTGCGCCACCAGGGCGTCTCTGATCTAAAGCCTTAGCCCTATTTATAAAATAAAATGTTTTTCTCTTTGATTGAATCTACTCTCAACATGTTGTTACCCATGAGGTTGTACTTTTCAACATGTCCTTCCCAAAATGTACAAGGCTTGCTTAGTCTTTTTGATTTGGGTTTCTACTTCCTTACAAACAAGATCTGTTGGTCACAGTGCTCCCAGGGGTTCTCAAGACAGCTTGTGGGAGGAGGTCTTGGGTTGTGACCTGGGTTTCCTGGGTGCCAGCTGGCTCACCAGGACGTGACCATGCTTGTCTCCGGTCTTATCACTGGTCAGGTGCACTGTGCTGGTGCCGTGCAGCGGTTCATGGTCATCTAAATGTCTCCTGAGGTTG